AGTTGTTAAACGATTTTCGCGGTCGGTCATAGCAAAAAGAAATCGTTATCTCCAGCTCGGAAGGCCCGGAGTTAGCCCATCACACACAAGGCCCGCGAGTTGGTTCATGGCCCGTTCTCCCTATTGTACTCATGGATTTGAGTACAATAGGGAGAACAGGCCAAGGACCCAGCAAAGGGAACATTAATCGGCTGATGTTGATAAATGATGCTAAGCGTCCTCTACGCAGATTAAATAAGACACGTGTTAATATTTATCACATATTTACTTAATTAATTAGGGTATTAAACTTCATAACTGTACTACAATGTATAGAACGTGAACAGGTCAAGTATATTCTGACTGATATTGATCTAATATAAAATATAGTTTATGAATTGATATGAAATTGTAAGCAACGTTGACGTTCTTATAGTCATGCGTGATAGATAACAAAGAAGACCTTTTATCCTAGAACGTGTTGCTATAATAATAATTTAATAATTTGTTTGCTGAAGAAAAAGGTGCACCAATTTTTACTAGTAATAGATAAGGAATTTCGCCTATCATTAGTCATGGGGTTTCAATGAAATAAACTTTTTATTAGTACCTATATATCATTTGAAGTGAGATTTGAGTGAGCTCTGAGAGCTTTAATAAAAAAAAAAACTTTCTAAATCTCAACCCGTAACAAGTGAAGTAACAAAAAAGTCTGAAAACAATTTTAGAAAAACTCCTCGAAGACTTTTTTTTTATTAAATAAATCTGTCACCGTTTTTGTTACTCTTTCAAACAAAAAACGGTACACTTGTTTGTATTTTACTGTGGTTTTTGTGAGTGTACTATTCACTCAAAACAGTAGCGTGAAATAGAAGAAATAAAAAAAAAAACTTCGTTTAGTGACAAATAAATTATAGAAAGTACCTATGCAATTGTAGATTAATGTTTATTTTCCAATTAGGTACAGAACTAACTCCTTGGTTATAGTGAAATAAAATTATTTAGAACTATTTAAGCCCCAAAGTGTACCAAATTGGGGCTTGAATAGTTCTAATGCTATAATGAAATAAAAATCCACCTAATTGCGAGCCTAATTCTTCACAAGACACAGTGGTATTTTATTCTGGCTTTTAGTATTTGATGTTGAACTGGCAACAGAAATACATCATCTGTGAAAATTACAACTGTCTAACTTTTCCGGTTCATGCCATACAGCCTGGTGACAGACAGACAGCGAAGTCTTAGTAAGAGGGTTCCTGTTTTACCCTTTGTATATGGAAACCTAAAAATCCACAAATAAATGCTCAAGGAATCCACCAGGCCCAGGTACCGCTATATAGGATATGCAATGGGAGGGCACTTGGGTTTGTTGACTTTTTAAGGATTTTAAACAAATCAAATATAAGTGTTAAAAACGGGACCATATATCTTATATTTTGCGAGTTTCCGACATTTCTTCGCTGTTGAAAGCGCCATGATCACGGATTTACTCGTAACATATAAGGTACACGGTAGGAATCCGTCTTTAGCAATGATTCTGGTGATCATGACCATGAAATTTTAAAACAACTCAAACTAAATATAGTTATGACGTCACATTTCTCATGGAAGTATTAGGAGTCCACGTCGAACCATATAGTGTACAAAACATTATGATAAACATCTACTTTCATACTCCGACTCACATTTGGCCAAATATTTTCGTGTAGCTATGACCACAACGTTAAGTTTGGATCCGCTTCTGACGTTCTCCTTCTGCGATTCTATCCAACAGAATGATCCGTAGTCCAGCATTTGGGATTAATAGACTAATTATGGTGAAGTACACTCATTCCTACAAGCAAAACCCGGTCAAGAGGACGAAAGGCATATGCTGTTATACATGCATATAGAAATTACACTCAGTGGATGGATAAAGAAGTGTTGACGTAGGATCAACATTTCGTTGACGTGGATTAATCTACGGTGGTGAGTGTTCGGTATATTAGATCCCGCATGCACCTTAAATAAATTCAGACGAGATAAGAGTAGAGCTGATTGCTGATAATTAATAATAATAATAATTTTATGGACTACTCTGTATGAAATAAAACAGGGATTAAAAAGCAGCCCTTGCAATTTGACCAGACCAGTTCCTCTCATCATAAGGTTTTGATTTACGAACCGATGGCATAGTTTTCGACATGTTCTAGTGCTTGTGTAACAACTTAGCCTAGATAAATTAAACAACATACATTTAGAAATACAACTTGTAAAAGTCAACAGAGGCACGCTTTTTGGCTCGGACATTTGAAAAGAATCCCTGATGAAAGGAAGACAAACATGATATTAGAAGGTTACCTAAGTCACGAGCCATAAAAATTGGTAATTATATAAACGGTTATGAATTTAATAAAAGCGAATGACATTATGTACTACTTCGCTTTGTCGTAAACATTACCTAAATAGACAGAGATATACTATCAATCTGTTACTTAGAAATAACTTTCATAATATTTTCTTCAAGAAAATTTTATTTAACATTAATTTGTATCACAAGATTTAAATATATATAGAAATAAATTTTCAATCCATCCAATGACAAATCCCCACAAAAAGCTGACTGTCCCCGAGGTATTAGTCATGTAGTACCTTAGAATTATTTTAAAAGCATCATTAACCAAAATATATTAGCTCTTAATTTTTTCAAGGCTATTACTGAGCACAAAATTGTAAAAGTGGAATAAAATTAGGATCACCAAACGCAAAAACTAGTAATAAAAATGACAATGAATCAATAAAATCAACTTTTGAGGGATTGTATTATGGCGCCAAAAGATAATTACGGTTTATAATATTCAAGCTACCAGTTAACGACTATTTTGTGTAATTTCAACCGTATTGCTTTGTGTTTAGGCAAATTGTGGTTACTATAGATGTAAAGTGAATTTTGTTACGTAATAACATGTGTTACAGGAGTTTTTTTCGCTCCAACTCCCGCGTTATATGATTAAGGATTATTCCCATTTCAGTCCCGTAACAGTGAGGTTGTCTTTAACCCTTACAACGTCAAGTGTTAAATTGACAGTTCGCGCTAATAGTGTGACGTTTAAATGTGCTTTGTATTTTGAGAGAGCAACTTGGCTGTGGTGGTAATTTTTTTTAAATCTCATTTTTTATTACATACTTTTTTATTTTTTATCTATTTAAGTAAAGTACGAATTAACATAGCACCTGCGTGCTTATTCCTTTTGTCCTCGAACGAAAATTTTGAATGGGTATTTTAATTAGTATTTATAATTTTGTTAAAAACATATTTGTGAAGATAATCTGTGCATCAGAGGCAGTGTCAGGTTTTACTTCGATTCATCAAATATTATTGAAAACTGCGTTTTTTTAGGAGTCGTATTTCTGTCAAATTTTGTTTTCAGAGAAATAGAAACAGTGTTATGTTAATTAGTACGAGTAATACCTATATATCTTACAGTTTTTTTCTCTTATAATAATAAAGCAATAGGGATTTATCACATTTATTATCAAATTTTATTTTTTGAACCGTTTTAAAGTCTCGTTTTTGCCTTTGATTTTACTTATGATTGTTGTGTGGTCAAATTGAGATTTATTGACTGGGGATGTAAATGTCGTTTATTTTCTTTTTGAAAATATTAATCGTCATTTAACATCATCAAGATTTGTGGCCAGTTAACTGAGAAGTAATTTATTTTGATACGCGTATATTTTTATGTCACTCGTGATTATTTATAATAAAATTTTATATATTTATCACATTTCATGGTTAAAAATTTATTGTAATTATAAAAATCGGGATCTTTAACAATTTTATTTTATGTCAATATCGGGGCTTGTTAAATATAAATAAAGTACTCTAACTGTTTCAACCACATGTTGCTACTGCCCAATAATTATAATATAGAAATAAATAGTTGAAATAAACTTTTCTTACTTTAAATTAGACTAAAATACAGATACATGTGAAATTTGAATAAACACATGATATTTTTACAAGTATAGTTAGACCGATGGAGCAAATACCGCTATTTTATTACTTTAAGGTATTTTTCTTATAGAAAGGATTTGTGTAAATTCTATTGCCGTTAAGTCTGTATTACGTACCATTTATTCGCTGAACAATAAAGTTTGATAAATCTTGCGAAAATCCTAAAGGCTGTCCCTGTATATCTCGTTGCACCCGACAATGGCATAGAAAGGGACACAAGATGGCAGACTGCGCGGCAAAAAATTAATTACTTATTTGCAATGTATTACGATTGTTGTAACAGTTCTGCAGAATTATCTGAGCTTCAAAATGACTCAGATGTTTATTCTCTTTTTCTATAAAATAATAGTAAAATTTGATAAATCTTGCCTAAGTATACAAGAAGAAGTGGAAAAAATATGAATTTTAGGAGTTCATTTGTAATTAATTGTTTTTATTTATGAATAATTGTCGACTTCTCAGTAGTGCTTTTCTATAAAAAAAGTCGCTATCGAATTCGACCTCACAGTATAGATGTTATATCAAATGAAAACTACTGCAATAGATATAATAAAGATTTTATTTCATTAAGCGTCTATGCTGTGACAGCTCTGTGATAGACGTCGAGTTCGCAGGTGATTTGATTACAGAATAACAAAGCAATAGAACAGCATCTGAATAATTATTTTCGTCCGAAAAATATAGGTCGTTTATTTTCTAAGCATATTCTAAATTAAGTACGCATAGGTAAAAATAATAATACAAATTTCCATCGCAAACGTCCGCAAATGTTTACACGAAAAAAAAACCGCTTCCTACCATCTTATTGAATGATATCAACAGTGCGAAACACGTGTCGCGAATATGAAATAATAAAGACAAATAAAGATTAAATTTATAATTCGCAGATGCCGGCGCGTCGCGTGACGACCAGAGAAAGTTTATTTTTATAATATTAGTTAAAACACATGCGCTAACAAACGGCACACATGGCATAAAGCACCTAAAGATTACTGAACCTTCCTAGGTAAATGAACTTAGAACGATGGCAAACTATGATATTATGAATTACGAAGATGAACTTTTTGAAAACAAAAACGATGTCACTGATCTACAAGCTTACTATATGACGCAATTCAATATGGAACTAGAACATGGCAACAAGAAAACTAAAGATGCTTTTAAATTTGGTACCGAAGAAAGTTTCGATTTTGAAGTCTTAAGCGAATGGAATGATGCAGGCAACGCTGCTACTAATTTTGAATCAATAGATAAAGTTATTGAAAGTGATATGAATGAAGTTAAAATTAAAGAAGTATTGTTAGACTTAGACAGTATAGAATTCGAAGAACAAGATTTAGAATTGAATTCTTATAAAACTGACGTAGAACAGAAAACTTATCAGAGCAATGATTACATAGATGATGAATCATTGATAGATGAACTTTGTAGAGAGGATGGAGAACCATGCAGATTAACACCAGAGAACTTTAATGAGGAATTTTTCTCCATATCAACAAATGCTAAACATATGCTACCATCTATTGAGACAGTATTTTCAAAACGATACTGTAATTATAACAACATAGAGGAAACAACGCAAAATGTGTTTGACGAAAATGAAACTATCATTCCAAATAATAATGGTTTAGTTATAGAAAACCTAGAACATTACAGTTATCCTAACAATATACTTTACAATCTAGACAATGATAAAAATTATGTATTACCCGATACCCCAACAAGTTGTACTGAATTTAATTTTAGTAATGGAGAAAGGAAGGTATCCGTTTCCGAATCTATAGAGAGCGATGTACACAATTCAAATTATTATGACGAAAATTCAGAATCGTTTGATGACGATGACTTTTTAGTAAATTTGGATGACTTCGGTTTAACTTTTGAAAATGATGAAGGAGAATATACCAATAAAAAATGTCAGCGCATTGAAAGAAGAAGTGATAAGGAAAAATCTCAAGGTATATTACACAATTAAACTCAATTTGTTTCAAAGTATATAGTTTGTGTATCATTAGATAAATTTTTTCCGTTTCCTTTGTAGGTGACAGAATCTGTTTTTGGGAGCAGTGCTTTGAGAGACATCCCAATCAAAACTCATTGGTTGAACATATTGAACGAGCTCACGTTAATAGCTATAAAGGTAATTGTCTTATTTTACTTTTAATTACAAAGAATTGGGTTGAAAGATGTAGAGCCATATGAAACAGGAGCATTTACTGTAAATATAACCTGAAAAATAGATTCGGGTCGGTTGACGCATCCGAGATTTTCAGTTCTAATGTTAAAATAAAAAAATATATATTTGTGCTTGAGCTTAAACCAATATTATAACTATATTGGCAGTTTATTTAAATCAACTGATTTTCTGCCCGCCACTTTCCCTGCGTGTAGTATTTCCAGGCGTCCGGATAAAACGACATAGGTAGGCTTTTTGATTGCAAGGCCGTCAAAAATAAAGGGCTCGTCGCAAACGAGCGAGTGTCGAACGTGGCAAGCCTAGCGCAGGCGAGTTGATAGATTTACGATGGTAATAAAAAGGGTTTATTTTGCGTATATATTTTTTTGTCGTATTAATACTGATATGCAAAATCTCCAATAATGTAGGTTGCCCGGCCTTTCTACCCAAATGTCCGACCATACTATCTGGTTCATTCAGCTCATAGATTTGGTGAATAGCCTGCCTGCGTGGATAACATGATTTTTGGATCTCTATTTAAGCCCTTTAAGGGGTTTTAGCGAATCTAGTCGTGACAATTATTATAATATTTGATGGAACCTCTATGCTATAACGAGTTCAGCTGTTTATTTTTTAAATATAACATTACTAGCTTTCTGCCAGCGGCATCACTTAGGTACATACATTTAGGTACATAAATTCGTTGTCTAGTTAAACCGATCTCAGAGTACAGCGGAAAGCGACTTTGTTTTAAACAATGTATAGATAGATAGCACTGCAACAGTGATATATGCGTTGATAGATCAGTAGTCCATTGCCTTTTATATACAAATGTGCAGATTAATCTCAATTTTTTTTTCTAGTTTTGTTAACGGTTTCATTTATTTCAGGCGATGAGTTCAGTTGTCTATGGCGGGACTGCGCACGAGCGCGTCGCCCATTCAATGCGCGATACAAGCTTCTTATTCACATGAGGGTACATTCAGGCCACAAACCAAACAGATGCAATGTAAGTCATATAACAATCGAGATGTACCACTCTCTTTGACTTTCGCTGAAGAAAAAAGAAAATATCTGTTTATTTATTTTTTTTAATTTTGTAACCTAATATTTTTTTTATTATATTTTATCTACTTCACATTCACAATGCTATACTATAAAATCTCAAGGTGCCAAGGACAAGCACTAATCATTTCTTTTTCAATTTTATCGTATAGCACACAATAAATTACATTGGGTTAAGTTAGGTTAGAACTGTGATCAGAAATTTTGAAAGTACCTATTTTAACCCGTTACATACTCTCCAACCTCATTTCTTCTCGAAACTCTACTGTTTAATTATCGTCAACAGCATCCTGGTTGCGGCAAGGCTTTCTCTCGGTTAGAGAACCTCAAGATCCACATTCGATCACACACCGGCGAACGACCGTACACCTGCCCTGCTCCACACTGCAGGAAAGCTTTCTCCAACTCTTCAGATCGGGCTAAGCATCAAAGGACGCATTTTAATGCTGTAAATATTAACAACAATTGTTATTATGCTAACATAATTTTTCTTTAGTTTCAAGATTGAAATCAGAAAAAAATCCTAGTTATTGGTGTAAACCGAATCAAACGTAACATCTTAATTCCTTGCAGAGACCATATGCCTGTGGTGCTATCGGATGCGGCAAAAGATACACCGATCCATCATCGCTGAGGAAACACGTCAAATCTCATCCCCACATAGCGAACACACCCAGGACTTGCATCGCACCATCCAGACCGATCAGGAGACCAGAACAGGCACAACTAGTGCCAAGCTCACCAGCGAAACTTGCTACTTTGAGATGTATCAGGGATAAACTGACCGTACCGAGATTGCAAAGATTATAAGCATGGTCATAATAGCCTAAAATTTTTTAAGATGTGTACCCATGGTTGTTAACGCAACATTGCAATTATGTACCTTTGCAATTTAATATTTTTCATTATTGCAATTTAGTATTTCGTTGTCTGCAACGTTCCAATTTAATATTTCGTGGCGATGCTACGAAATATTAATTTCCGAAACCATGCAATTTAATTTTCGCAGCGTTACAATTTAATGTTTCCCACCGTTACAATTTAGTGTTTCACACGATTGCAATTTTATAGTAAGGGTTAGAAATATCTTATTTAAGTTTTTTTTTTATTTCGCTATTATTTACAAATTCTATAATTCTTAACTATGGTTTCCTGTAATAACAAATCATCTTCTCGTTTTTAAGGATCAGAGTAGTTGCTTTTTCTTTGAGTTTGTACTTGTTGCTTTTATTTTAGAAATTACTTCTACAGTAAACTTGCAAATTCGATTAACTTCATATTGCATTTGTAAATTTTGTCGCGTTTCTTTTTAGGTGTTTGAACGAAGTGATCTTAGGGATCTTATTTATTTGTTAATTTAATTTTTAATTAAATCATAAAATTTTGACGTAATGATGATCAAAAAATAAACATAGTTAAAGTCAAATTTAGTGTAAATAAAATATCAGCGTATGATGATATTATTTTACAGTAAATAGGAGTTAAAATTTAAAGATACTTATTAAAATAAGTAATAGAATTCGTTTATCGATTGTAATTTAACTAAATTATGATCTCATAGAATTGAGTATAATTGAAAGTATAATAAGCTCAATTTAAGACTGAAGTGATACATCGCTCAACATGTTAGAATTTTTGTTTACTTGTTAGTATATTAATAAATAATCCTCATTCGATTTATTTTATTCAAAATAATAATGATAGAAATAAATATTTTGTAAAAATAAATTTTATTTTACTAAGTAGGAATACTATATATTACCAAAAATATATTTTCAAGTAAAATATTGCCAAGTAGTGTAATAAAACAGAGAGCAGAATTAGAATTAGAATACACTAAGCTCTACAGAGTTAGAAGCTTGGCTCTAAAAGAGATATTATAATTTTTTGACACTGCGACGAGAAATAATGGTCTCTTGAAATGTTTTACGGCAAAACGTTTTTGGTGGAATAAATATTATTAGATAAATTATTGTATAATCTTGTTTACATTATTAAATTCTAATGTGGCTTATCAGAGTATGAAAAACATATTTTAACAGCTTTAGTAGACAAGTGGCTTAATATTTAGGCATTATATTTAGCCTACTCGGCTTTGTTCCACAGGGATCGATTTCAAATATAATTCTCACTTTAGTCATTGCTTGGATTGGAGATAGTACATAACATTTGTATTTTAGGTATATCTGAGTGTTTTGAAGCACCAAGATATCATTGATTATGAGAAATATAAATATCAATTAGAAAAGGCTTGTGTTTAACACATCCCTTTTGTAAGAATTGTCTTTAAAATAATATTTTTAACTATCGTCAGATGGCGTCGATTTTCAAATTCACCATCATATACATGGTTTTTTATTTTATTTTAATGGTACTTGCATATAACTTTAAAATAAAATGTAAATAAAATTGCATTATGATATCAGCGCCATCTCTCGACGATCAAAAATAAATCTTCTTATAGAAGACCTTAGTTATACGAGGGTCAAACTGAAAGTTCTTAGAAAATCAAAAACTGATTACATTAGCCAGTTATTAGTTTTATTATATCTTTTCAAAATATTGTCCATTCACGTCAATACACCGCTGCATGCGATGGAACCACTGGGAAAAGCACTTTGCCCACTTGTCCTTAGGGGTCTCTTCAATGGCATCGCGATACGCAGCCACCGCTTCTTCAGCATTCATAAACCGCTTTCCTTTAAGTTTTTCTTTAATTTTTGGAAATAAATAAAAATCACAAGGCGCGAGGTCGGGGCTATACGGCGGGTGACCCAGTAATTCAACGTTTGATGTCGCCAAATAGTCGATCGTTCGCTTGGCGGTGTGCGACGAGGCGTTGTCGTGGTGAAGGAGGATCCTACTGCGAGGTCGTTTCTCTCGAACTTTTTCCAAGACAAGTGGCAAACAATTGGTAGTGTACCATTCTGCAGAAACTGTTTTTTGATCCTCTAACACAATTGTTGCAAAATGACCTATCCTTCCAAAGAACGAGGCCACCATTTTTTTTCCCGCACTTCGATCTCTCTTCACTTTAGTTGGCAACTCCTCGAAAGGAAACACCCACTGAGCAGATTGTCTTTTGGTTTTAGGATCATAACAGTAAATCCAGCTTTCGTCACCTGTTAGTATGTCGAACACAGCATTTGAGTCACCTCCGTTAAATCTTTCAATCATTTTACGACACCAATCCACACGATGGAGTTTTTGAGCCTCAGTCAAATTATGAGGTATCCACCGGGCGCAAAGCTTCCTGACCGCTAAATGTTCGTGGAGGATTTTGTGCACTTGACTCATACCGATGCCTAAGCTTGTCCGAATCTGTTGATAGGTCACTCTTTTGTCAGTCTCTATCATACGCCGCACAACACAGATGTTATCTTCAGTCGTCGCCGTAGAAGGCCGTCCCTCACGTAAATCATCAGTGAGATTAGTGCGACCACGTTTAAACTCATTAAACCAGTTGTAAACAGTCGCACGAGATGGGGCTTCATCGTGAAAGGCCAATCGTAGTCTATCATAACTTTCTTGTTGACTTAAATGACATCGAAAGTCATAAAAAATCATTGCACGAAAATTTTCTCGTGTTAAATTCATGATGACGTGACACAGACAATTTTCAATTTGCCGCCAAATCGTAAAACAAATGACAAATGAATGAAATATATACTCAGTAATATTGGCAAAGAGTTATATTTTCAAATTTTAGAATTATTTTTTTATTATATTGTTTATAAGTGGCCAGTTCTAAGAACTTTCAGTTTGACCCTCGTATAGTAAGTTAAATAAGATAAATCTTCCAATGCACCTTTATTTGCTCAACTAAGTATAGGTTTAAAAGACTTTTATACAATTGTGTATGTTACATACGTTTCTATAAGTATAATCACTCTTTTTGAGAGGGACATAATGTACAAAATTGCTTGCTTTCCAAAGAATCTCTTTACTTGATTATTTTTAAATAATTTTCCATTATAAGATCTCTTTTATAATTTAAGAAAATAAGCAACAAATAATTTAAGTTTTTATAAGGCAGTTGCTGTCTTTAAATTTTAATGTAAGATTTTAATAATGCTCAAATTTATTAAAAAGAATTAAGTTTTAAGTTTGTTTTTTTTTAGTAGATAAGTAGTTCCCACGGTCATATGTCCTTTCTATAGATGGAACCAAATATGAAGAACGGACCAATACCCACAACGTGGGCCTAGTGTGTATTGGTGGTCTTTGTGATTATAGATGCAGCAAAGGTTAACAGCTTAACGTGTTCCCCAAAATGTGGAAAAGCTCGAGATAATAAATTTTTGGTCACTCGTCCCATGACCCTAACAAAAGTTGCAGATCCTACAGTGGTCCGCCCCGGCCCGCTTGTCCTGGGGGGGCCTTCAAATGTCTACAATTTCCATTGATCCAATTATTAACTGGAGTTGTACTGCCTTATCTTTCTTATGTGTGATAGTTTTTACGGGCCAGCGCGCAATGTAGTAGGTTGTACATATTCCATTAAGTTATTTACTTTAAGACCACACCTACAGACTACACACTTATGAAAGGCGACTTCGATAGCATTTTCATGAATAAGTCACTTTTGAGATAGGTATTATTTTTCACTTTTTTAAGTTTGAAGTCGGTTCTATTTTTTTTTTATTTCATCCTTTTTAGTGATATTGATATTTTTATATAGATAATAGGTAACACCAAAAATATGTTTCTGAAAGCCGCGTCAAGATCGGTTCAGCCAAACGCGAGACAATCGCGGAAAATTGACACATATTATTTTTGTAAACAATGTTTACAAAAATAATACATAATACAATTTTTCGCATCAAAATTGGTTCAGGCATTTGTGAGATAATCGCGTACAAACATACATACTACAGATCAAACTATCAATCTCCTACTTGAAGTCGGTTACAAAATAACAATGTTTACTAAATATATAAAAACAGTTTAAATTTTATAAATAAAAAATATAAACTTATTCACATCCCATCCCGCAATGGGATAAGCAATGGGATAATATTCATCATAAAATACTAATTTCAAGGAAAACAAGTTCGGAGTTCCCCAAGGCAGTGTTTTGGGCCCGCTTTTGTTCCTGATAGAAATTAATCAATGCGTTCTATTTGCTGAAATATCAGTAGTTGTTACAACGGATAGAAATTTATGATAGATTGTCACAAAAATGATATTAAAACAACAATACCTATAGTTGATTTGCTCAGAAATAAAAATTGAGTTATTAATTTAGAAAAAAACATATTTAAGAAATTCTCATCATATTCATCCAATAATTAATATAAATTATGAGCAAGAGGTAATTACAAATATCGATTCAACAAAATTCTTAGGTATAATAATTAATCAAAGTCTGAATTGGAAAAATCAGGTAGAAAAGGTTTGCTATAAAATTAACCGACTTTTATTTGCTCTTCATAAATTATCAAAGATAGCTACTAGGAGTACGGCTCTTACTGCGTACTTCGCTTACGTCGAATCTGTTCTTAGATACGAGCTTATCATATGGAGTAACAGTACAGACATTAAAAAACCCTATATTGCTCAAAAAAAAAACAGATGAACCCTGCAAACCTCTCTTTTTATCTTTAAAAATATTACCTTTATCTTGTTTATACGTTTTTGAAGTCGCTACATTCGAATACCAAAATACTAATATGTGTCAATTTAAACAGGCAAAAAATTTATATATACGCAATACCAGAAATTGTGATAAATTGATTTCTTATATCATACCAAGGAGCGCGTGATTTCAGAATAACTGTATTTGGACGTGTATTGTGCTTTTTAATAATATCCCTCTTAACATTAAGAATCTTTCATTTAATAGCTTCAAAAGAGCTCTATTCATATGGTTTTGTGATAATGCTTTTTATAGTGTTATTGAATATTTAAATGAGAATTGTATAATGTCTTGAAATGTATGACTATATTTTTTCTTTTAATCTGACATTCATCATCATCAGCCCTTTTACGTCCCCACTGCAGGGGCTCAGGCCTTCCTTATGGATGGTTAAAGAGGATAGGCCATGACCCTCCACGCTGGCGTAATGCGGATTGTAGGGTATTAACGACTGCAAATGCAGCAGGGACCAAAAGCTTAACGTGCCTTCCGAAGCACGGAGTAGCTCGAGATAATAATTTTTTGATCACCTATTCCGTGCGAAAGTTTCTTAACGACAACGACCGTGGGCCGCGGCGCTTATCCACTACGCCACCGAGCTACTTATCTACTTTTAATCTGACATTATCTACTTTTACATTTGTACTGATTTTAAAATTTTAGTTTATTTGATATTTTGCAAGTGGGAATAATGATTGTATTCAATAATAGTTTTATGTAACAATGATACTTCTAATTTAATAATTTTGACATTGCAATACTGCTTATGACTTTGTAATTTTATCAATATTTGCATGCTATTGCTCGAGGCTAAACGGGCTAAACTCAAATTATATTTCAATCTACAATGTACCTCATTCAAAAGCAAAGAAATTGTTATTATTAGAGAGAATTACTGATGCAATTCAGTACTTTTAATTAAAATATTTATTATCACACGAAAAATGTTCTGTCGGAGAGAAAAATAGCCGTATCACCAAATTTTCAATATGAGGTATAATACAGGTACAATATAATGAGGTATAATAATAGGTAATATTATTATTTGCCGGAACTTCGTGGGGTGGATAAGTTAAATATACTGAACAACTTTTACTATGTGAACAACACTGAATTCCCGATGTTTTATGCTGTTTGCGATGGAAGGTATTAAAATTTATATGATAAAAATAATTATTATTCTTGAAGTCAGTGTTTCTGCCATACTTCAATTTAACTCATTCACTTCGTGAAGTCCTGGCACATAATAAAATCACATCTTATAAAAAATGGAAGATTTTTTTTTTATGTTTTAGTTTGGACTCCAGAGTGACCTATGAACAAGAAAACAAAACGTCAATTCTAGTTACGAACCATTAACTCGTGTTCAAGACCAATAACCTTATTATATCTGATCTAAGTTTTAGAAAACAGTACCTAAACCTGATACTTTGTTGCTATCTGTGACCCTAAGTCACTAGATATTTAGTATTCGTTTATGGTCATATATAAAGGTGACCCAGATCGTTGATGAGCAGAAGTGAATTTCTCGGGAAGCCGTTCACAAGTAAGAAGCGGCAACATGAAGATCCTATTATTAGCAGCTTTCATCGGTAAGATTATTTTCTGTCTTTTGAGTAAACTCCGTGGATGTGTTTCGCCGTTTTTTTTTTCCTCTTTCAAGTCCGATTCACACTTCAATTGGTACAGTTGCAAGTTAAGTAACGGGTAGTAAGTTGTAAGTAGCGTCCAAACGTGGTCCAAACAAAGGCGATCCGAGAGCAGATAATCGCGTCGGTAATTTTGTTCTTTAGAAACAGTAAACAGTAATTATTCCAAATTTAAATGTAAGGGAAATAGTGTCAATATTTGTTTTAAATATTATGGTACAAATGTAAATGAATTATTATTTGAACTTACAATAAACCATTGTAACTAGGTAAATTATTTATATTCTGAAATGATAATTAATTATCATTATTAATTAAGTTAGCGGGTTTCGGGAGATGTGAGAGAAGGGACTACCAAGTAGCCCGTAGACCAAAAATAGATTCGCGATCTATTAAATTCAACTTAATCTAATTCAGTCGTTTGTGCCATTCAAACAACAAAATAACTTAACTCGCCGATGTTGCAAGTTAACTCGCTATCACTACTGTACTTATTGAAATTGGTATTTGAGTAATTTATAACAAAAATCAAAAATAAATTTAATTATTTGAAAATATTCTATTGCATATAATTGTATTTACGGAAGATTTTTTTTATATATTTTGGACTAAGCTAAGATAATATTAAATGAATTTTAAATAGCGGTGTTTTTTTTCTCAAGGAAATTTACTTAGATATTAGTTTAAAATTAAAATGTTATCAGAATTTTGAACTTCGCTCTACTAGATGGCGTCTAGCATATTCAAAACCGTGCTATTGTTTCTATCAAATAATAATTTTGCATAGACTTTAGATCAATAAAAAAAGTAAGTATTATTTTTTAATTAGTATCTGAAATTGTGACTCGATCTATCCATATACTATCTATCTGCGTCTGTTGTTTCCACGCCTAAATAACTGTATATAAAATAATAAAATCTAAATAACCTTGAACACTGTTCATGCAGAATAAAATATGTTTTGGAACACTATAAAATCAATGTATAAATAAATGTAAAGTCTAATTAAATTTAATTATTTGATGATAGCCAAACGTATGTGCCTATTTTAATAATATTTATAAAGAAGTGTGTAGGGATTCCATAATTTACTGGTACACTCAGACCAAATTTTTTGTTTGATCTGAGCTTGTACAATAAAAATTACCAAAAGTTAATTAATTTAAACAAAATGAACCAACGTAAGAAAATAAACATAGCTATAAAAGATTAAATTCAATAGATTTTTAACAACGATGTTGAATCATGGAGATTTTATAAATGGTTTAAGTTTGAAATGAACGTAATATTGTATTTTCGTTTATTATTTTTATTTTTTAATGTAATATAATAATATTTTTATTTAATTATTTTTATTTCTTGAATTCATTATATTCATTTATTTCCAGCTGCAGTTGCATCGGGCCAGCTTAATCAATTCGTTTCCGATAACCAGTCGCATCAGCCATGGCAAGTCGGCAAGTTGTACCGGTATGAAGTAGATTCGTTCACTCTGGCCCGCTTGCCAGAAGGCGCTAGCACTGGTACCGCATTCAAAGCACACTTCGTCATCCGCGTACCAGCCCCTGGCCTCCTCCTGGCACGACTAGAGAATCCAAGTCACGCTCAAATACACCAAGAGCTTCCCAGCGAGAGACAACTCCCAAGTGATATCAAATATCAGCCACTTGAAAAACGTGAACTAACTTTCGGAATTAACGTCGAAGGTGGCAGGGTTTTGGCTCTCACTATTCCCACCTCCTTGCCTCTTGCACACGAGAACTTACTCAAAGGTCTTATTAGTGCTCTCCAGCTGGATCTATCTAATCACCGTCACGTTCGTAGTTCTTATGATGGTTTCGAAAAGGAATCTCAGCAAGGTGCATTCAAGAAAATGGAAACTGACGTCACTGGTGACTGTGAAACTTTATATAACGTTTACCCAGCTGTACCAGAATGGCGCCGTGAGCTCCCTAAATTCGCTAACGAAGAAGAACCAATAATGGTTTCCAAAACTAAGAATTATGGCCATTGTCATCATAGAGTCGCCTATCATTTCGGAGTACCCGAAGGAGCTGAGTGGACTGGTACTGCCCATGGGAAGGACGAGGAGCAGTTCATAAGACGTGCGACAGTCACCCGCATGCTCGTTGGTAAGCAGGGCCCTATATACAAATCCGAAACTACTAGCACAGTCCATGTTAATCCTCAATTATACGGCAAGGACAAAGCTGAAGTAATCAGTTACGTTAAACTGTACCTCGATTCTTATGAACAAGACAGCGAAACTGAATGGCCTCTCCCGGAAAATAAACGTATAGTCAACAACTTATTATATTCTGTATCGCAGAAGAAGCAAATCATAATTAGTGAAAGTTCCTCATCTTCTGAATCTTCGGAGTCAATTGAAAATTTTTCCCAAACTATGAATGGCATGAGAATGAGTTCAAATAATCGAGTTCGTCGCTCTGCACATACTCCTAAAATAATTTCCATTAACAAGGTAATTGTGAAACGAAGTTCAGATGACAGCAGTTCATCAAGCTCAAGTTCCAGTGACTCTACTTCAGCTTATCAAAATGATGAAGTCCCACGTGACAATGAACCCGCATATGCCGCCTTATATATGATGCCTCAGGTACGCGCTGATAAGAAGCAAAACCCACTTAATGCACAGAAACTTGTTCAAGATATGGCACAACAATTGCAGAATCCTAATAATATGCCAAAATCAGATTTCCTGACGAAGTTTAACATCCTTGTCAAAGTACTTGCTTCCATGAGCTATGAACAACTGAGCCTTACGAGCCGTACTATTGAAGTTACGAGGTTATCCAACAATCAAATGAAGGCTGATATGTGGATGATTTATCGTGATGCAGTAACTCAAGTCGGTAACATGCCCGCTTTCCAACAAATCAAATCATGGATTCAGAATAAGAAAATTCAAGAGGAAGAGGCAGCGGAGATAGTAGCCAGTTTAGCGCAAGCTATTCGTTATCCTACTAAAGACATTATGATGCAGTTCTTCAGACTCGCGGTCAGTAACGAAGTCAAGGAGCAACCCTACCTTAACACAACTGCCCTGATTGCTTGTACCCGTCTCATCAATATGGGTCAAGTCGATAACAATACTGCGCATTCTTTCTACCCTACTCATATGTACGGTAGACTTACTCCTCAACATGATGCTTTTGTGGTTGAAGAAGTAATTCCATACTTGTCCAAGGTTTTAAAAGAAAGTATCCAATATGGTGATAGTGGCAAAGCCTTAGTTTATATACACGCTATCGGGAACTTAGGTCACCACAGTATTCTAGATGTGTTTGCTCCTTACATTCAGGGTGAAATTCGTGTTACAACTTACTTACGTAGTCAAATGGTCCGTAACTTACGAGTATTAGCTCACGAAAGACATTCACATTGTCGAGCTGCGTTATTCAACATCGTGAAGAACGTTGCTGAACCCTATGAAGTGAGAGTTGCTGCAATCGAAAATATATTTATGGCGCATCCAAGCAGTGCAATGATGCAAGCCATGGCTCAGATGACTCATAACGACCCAAGTGTACAAATCCGCGCTATCCTGAAATCGAGCATTTTATCGGCAGCTGACTTGAAGCACCCTCTTAATATGGACCTGTAAGTTATTAGTCATATATATATATTCACTATTTTTCACTAAAACAAATTTGCTCATAAAACCTTAACTGTTTTACAAATTTAATCCACATCACTATTTGTGCTTTCAGTGCTAGAACAGCTCAGTCCGCTAAATGGATGGTGACAAAACAAGAGTATGGAAATCATTATTCGGGCAAATTCCTTAACGATTACAATGATAAGACTCATGAATTTGGGTATATGACAGCTTTCTCCTACACTGGTAGCGAAGATAGTTTCTGGCCAAAGAGTTTTAAATATTCCGTCAAGAATAAAGCTAAGGAAAATACGGTACGTTAAGGTTACGCCAAATCCCTATTTACCTATAGAAATAAAACATGAACATTCGCCTATACTATATGCTTTGATAATTGAAATGATATTTTTATATAACCCTCTGATCACATAATAAGATGCTACAGTATAAAATAATAATAATAAGTAAAAAGTAATCTAAAATCGTTACTTTACAGGTTTCAGCTTCAATTTCCGATATTCAACAACTAATGCATGTTTTCCAACATGAAATTGATAGAATGGTACGCAAGAACCCGAAATCAGAAGCTCATCACAAATATTCAGCAGAGAAGGTCGCTGAAATGCTTAACATTAAACGTGACCCCAAAAAGCCATTAGAAGCTTCTGTATTAATAGACATTATGGGTCAAGAAAGATTATTTACCTATAGTGAAAATGAACTGGAACAAATACCTGCGATAATTGCTAAATACATGTCAACCTTAGCCAAGGGTTCCGAGAAACATTACACAAAAGTTCTCAACAAAGCTCAAGTCTCTATCATGTTCCCAATGTGCACAGGAATGCCTTTCGTTTACAAATATAAGGAACCTACAGTAGTTCATACTTATGGTAAAGTTAAGGTGGAAGTCAACCCGTCAAAGAAAGAAGGCGAAGACGTTGCTAATATAATGAAAGAGATATTCTTCACCTTTGCCAGGAATATTGATGGAAGCGTTGGTTTCATTGATACTCTTGTAAACCAGTATCCCAGAGTTGGGGTAGTAAGCAAAATACAGGTTCACCTTCCTCTCAAACTGCAAGTCCAAGCGCAATATGGTCAATTAAAAATTATTTTGGATTCCCTGCGTCCTGACCAAGATAACACCCTCATGCATTACAGCGTATGGCCATATTCTACTTGTCAAAAGAAGGATTCTTTAGTGACTGTGGCGCAAGATCCGAACACTAAAGTCATAAGTCGCAGCAAGAAAGTGGTTTCAACTGACTCTAAAGTCGGCCAATGGATCGGCTATAATTTCCAAATTCAGGGCTATTCTTATTCCTCCGATTACAAAAACATCGGTCATATGTTACAATCACGAGACCTTTTCACGAATATTGTTCATCTACTTCATCAAAGAGACGTTGCTCTTACACACTTCAACTTGAAACACCTTGTAAAACAAAGTCAAAACAAACGTGTTGTTTTCACTGTTGCTTACGGTAAGTTAAACATTTTTAACAACGCAATGCATTGATTTGAATTGAATTACCTATTTACGTACATTTTCTATTGCAGATATATATTACAATCCACCGTTGGAGGCTACCAATCAACAACCACTGGTTGCTATGCATACGGAAGATATGACTCCAAATAGTAAAGACCGCCGTCAACAAATGGCTACACGGGTGTGTGCTGGAATCAAAACTGCAAAGGCTCACGTTGTTGACGTCAGCGCAATATTTGAAGGTGAACAGAAACAACAGTTTATCATGACGGCAGCAATTGGTGACAGTCATATAGACTCAAAAATACAATACGCTTTCTTCGCTGGACGGTCCGACCAAACTGGAAAGTCCTCAAACCAAATTAATGCTGTTGGCACGGTATTCAAACCAACAGTTAGCCCTCTTAATTTCCTTGAAGCTATTAAGAAAGAAATGAAAATGAAGTTTGAATTTAACGTCAAATATGGGCAGAATAGTAATGGAAACGTCCGAGTGGATGGCTACATGGAGCGTAGTAAAAAATACACTGAAGAACTTCTCAATCATCCGTTAGGTAAAAAATGCGCGCAACAAATGGAAACAGACAACCTTTACCAGCACGCCTGTCACAAAATGACGGTCAAAGCTCACTCTCCTGATTACCTTAGGGCATCAGTCGTTTATAAAGACGTTAGCCCTGCCTTCAGGAATATGACTTACAAGGCCTTCAGAATTGTCGACAATCTCGGCTTCTGGTATACTGATGTTAATCCAATGAAGACTACCCCTGATGGCAAACTTGAGATTGAATCTCACTTCTGGTACCCTGATAACAGCATGAATTTGGCTCTAAGCACCAGGTTGGGAGAAGTTCATTACAACAACGTACCCATACCTAAAGTTACTGATAGTTGGTTGGCTGTATACACTCCTTTCAACCCACAGGAACGCGTTTTGAACGAGTTAACTGAGGACCAATATCAGCGTAAGTTTATATCCTATTATTATTATTCACTAGCATTCATTGTAGATATACCTTTAATCAATTCTATTCATTTTCTTCCACAGCTTTCTGTTCGGTGGATGCCAACGAGATCAAGACGTTTAGTAACCGCACCTATGAATATATTCTGTCACGTAATTGGCATGTAGTGATGCAAGATGATAGTACTTTACATGGGGGTAATGATAAAGTGGTAGTTCTAGCCAGAAGACCGCAAGATAAGAAACTTGAGTTATACATCTCATATAAGTAAGTTTAATAATTAAATTGGTAGCATAAAATATGGAATATGTATATATGATAATATGAACTGTTCAAAAGAATAAGAGGTATTTTACCAAAATTAATATTAATGTAACATAGGAAAATGCTTGAAGTCATTCTAAAATGTAAATATTAAATAGTTGCTTTTTTTTTAACAAGTTCATTGTCCTTAATTTACATGAATATATTGTAACCATTTTGTAATAATCGTGTTTGTTCACAGAACAAGAAACGGTAAAGACATAGAGCTTGAAGTTCAACCAAGCTCAGAAGAACCAAACAAAAAACATATTCTTAAGGTAAATACTAACGCTAAGGAACTATTCGACAATGACCTAGTCATGTACTTAGATGAAGCGAACTTTGACGTCGTTCTTAAATACTATACTCTACCTGATGGTGTATTAATAATCAACATTCTACAAAACTATCTTCGCTTGATGTACGATGGTACGAGACTTGTCGTATTAGCTAAAGGACACAGAAACCATATCAATGGAATATGTGGTCGTATGAGCGGTGACAAGCGTGATGACTATTTGACTCCTCAAGGATTAGTTGACAGACCCGAACATTTTGGAGCTTCATTCGCTTTGAAGGAAGCGAACAGCGACCCTAAGACACTCGAACTCCAAGCTCAAGCGCAAAAGGTAGCTTACCCTACGAAACACGAATACACAGTGATCTTACCGCGTGATAATGAATGGAGAAGCTTGGAGACGTCTTTGGATAGCTCAAATTATCATAACTTGTATAGAACAAGAGGGTGGCAGAAGCGTGGCCAATGCCAGGTCCACCAGCAGATACAATATTACGAGGACCACAGCCATATCTGCATCACATTGACCCCACTGCCCGCGTGTCCGTCCAATTGCCGCATTCATATGTACAAGGTACAAGCTGCTCAAGTGGTATGTCGACCAATATTCGACAAGGAATTCCAAATGTATAAAGAACAGATTCGCCAAGGGCATAATCCTAAGGTTCTGGAAGTACCTGAACAACAACCCAAGCAATTCCAAGTACCGACTTCATGTAACGCCTAAAATAATACATATGCACTATAAGCATCTCAATCATGACTCCGCTATCTAATAATTGCGAACTGAGTGAATATATAAGTTATATATTTATGTATTTTAAAATATTCAATTAAGTATGCAGTTACTATTCATATAAAATATTTTATATATATATATATATATGGTTATATTTCTTTCTATATATTATATTACCTAGTTTATTTCAAAATTGAAGCTTTTATACGTATACTATCTATTTTATAATATGTGTTTTTATAGTATTATAATAATAATTTTGTAAAAATAGAGATAGATGTACAAGCAACTTAAGAAAATAGAAAAAAAAAATGTAAATATATGTCTTAGCACATAATAAAAATATTTCAAATGTATTGCGTTTTTACATCAAATGCCTTATTAACCGTAATTCGTCGTCGTATTATAACATTTATAGTTTATAGTATATAAAGTAGTAGTATAAACAAACTAGGGATTAACAAGAAATTCGTCAATGGAGTAATAACACTTGTCTAACAAAAATGCTCCTAAGTTTTGCTTTGAAAGTACTTGTATAAATTAATACCTTTAATTCAATAGGCAGCCTGTTAAAAAGTTTAATTGATTGGTACTCAGCACATTGCCTAACAATGAGAAGATTAGGTCTCAAGTTTGCCGCAAAATCCTTTCTTCTTGTCCTCTCTCTTTGCTCCCTCTCATCCGAGCTTTCATATTCATATATATGCTTCCCAAAAAAATATATAAACAAGGGACAGTTAAGATACCTAGATTTTTAAAATGCTCTCGGCAAGATTGCTGTTGTTTTATTCGGACCATAGTTCTAATAGCTCTTTTTTGTAGAACAAAAGCTTTTCCTATATTATAGCTCTAGCTTCTACCCCAAAACAAAATGTTATATCTAAATCTAGATTTAACCAATGCATTATATATAATTTTTAGGTGTTTAATATCCTTCATATCTGAGACATCTAAGTATATAGCAAGCTGAACCAATTTTACCCTCAATATCTTTCAACTCGAGCTTCCAGTTTAAGAACCGATCTACATATATGCACACCAAGAAATTTGGCACTATCCACGACTTCTAGTTGTTCACCGTTTACATTTCTCGCAGGTTTTCTACTGCTTCTGGAGTTTTTACAGGAATGGAATCCCAGCCCGTGGCACAATCACTTTTAAGAGCATTGATGAGGTCCAGCACGTCAGTCTCATCTGGAGGAATCAAATCTATGGATTTAGATCTGTATGGAATTTTAAAATCATAGGAAGAGTTGTGACTTCGTGATCAATCTGCTAGTTGCTTACCAATATTTGAAAAGTACTTGTTGATGCCCATGATATCCTTTTCTGCGCTATTTATATTTTGAATCAATTCCATGCGAGTTAACACGCAAAATTTTTTAAAACCTTTACGTGTACATGTCGTAGCCAACTGGGAAAATTAGCCGATCAATTGGACGATTAGCCATTTAGTTGAGTCCAATTGCACGCCTAGTAGTTGAATCATTATGACATTTGGACCATTCAACAAGATGGCTGATTCAAAAGCCGCCACAATGTTCATTTAGTTTTGTTAAATGGCATTAATAATTTCTAACCTAAATTAATTACGTATGTACCTACAGGACCAAAATAACTTCATTATTTATTATTTTTTGTTGTTATTAACTCTTAATTATAGCACTAAACTTCTAATCCTCGTAAAAATACTAAAGCAATCACAGTCAAGTATATTGCTTACTCTCATTTTCGATAGAGGGCTCTGTGGCCGTTTGAATCGCGATATATCTTGTCTTTCTATATTTGTATTAGTATTAAGAATTTACTACACACACTTTCAGTCCGGTCAATTTAACCCAAGAATAAGTACCCATCGATCCCATGTCTGCAAAAAATTTTATTCGAGGTTTTTTAAATTTTTCAGCGAAACGGTTAGTTTTATGATAATATATATGTTAGACAAAAATTGTAGATCATGCAATTATCTACAAAAATTGTTCTTACACATTTTTTCATAACACTAATTTTGAGAAAAAACAATTAGAAAGTTTTCGTACGCTGTATTGTCTATAATATGTACGTACACTTTTCCTAACCACCTATGAGATAGTGTACCTATAGTTCATTAAATATAGCTTGATCTCTGTGACAGGTGTCAATGAAACCAACGAAGTAACTTTGAACAAGCGTCATGTTTACAATGTCATTTTGTATCACTTATATTTTTATTCTTTACGTATGGGTATTATCACAAGTGAACTGCAATACATTTTAAATATTAAAAAATCACCTAAAACATATTTCGTAGATTATAAAACTACTAGCAATGAATTTGTGACGCTTACGCATTACGAGGTCATACTGGACTAACAAAAAGATAGAGATGTGAAAGTGTTATGTTTTATTTCATTTTGTTTTTTGGTATCACTATGCCAAAGTTAGCAAAAAAGACTTTTCTAAATAGTGAATGCCGTGAGTTTGCGGCTCGCTTAAGGGACTATTTTGAACGCGAGAATCAAAATGGCGGGCAATTTTTGCCATTATCGCAAGTATGCGATCGAGTTGCTGATGCTCTTGGCATTGGTAGAGCTACTGTCGTTCGCATAAATAAAGAAAAATATGGAGAAGGATCAAGCGATGCGCCAGAGGTAGATGTTGATAAGAAATTATCAATTCCAAATAAAAAAGAAAAAATCTTCACTGGTCTAGGATCTACAAGATCTACAAGATTGCTCTAGCGATTCGCAGTATAATGATGATTGTAATAATGACCTTACGTGTACTCTTTTCGATAAATAAATACAATGAGGATTTGATTGATTTAAATATAATCCACCTGATTAACTTTTTAAATTCTACTGTTCAGATATGAGTACACATTGTAATACTATATAATCCCCCCTGGCGGCCATTTTGATGACGTAATTGTGGCGTAATTTATCTCATGCATTTTTTAAATGACGTCACGCGGGTGTTATTTGGACAAAGTTCCAGTGCATTAGCAATTTATGGGACTTATATGACAATATTTTCATTGTATACATTAAAAAGAAAGCTTATTTTTTTAATGATATTGTTTATCTAATTGTAAATTAACCTTCTATGAGAATGAATGTTTTTAAACCTAGATGCATTATTCTCTTATATACTTATAGACCGATTGTAAATAAATAAATAATCAAAAGTTAATAATATTTTCATTGATTGTTAATCTAAAATGAGTATTTAAAATATAAAGATTTCTATCGACAAAAAATACGCATTATATCGTAAGTGTCACAGCTCTAATGACAGCTGTCACAGAGATCAAGCTATATTAGAAATAGTGCGTGTATTTTTTAATTTTTAAATTGTTTGAAAAACCGAATTTTTGCAAGGGTCAATGTCTAAATTGACCGGACTATATCGTCTAGGGATATTTTGTATAACGTTCTAAATTCAAAAAATACTAACCTGTTTTAAAAACTTATTTTGTACGCCTTTTTTGATGATTCCAAATTTGAATTTTAAAGAAATAATTTCAAAAAAAAGATTTGCGTTGCATAATTCAAGCAAAGTTCAAAGTTTTCAATTTACCTACCATAGTTTACCAAAGATTTTTTGTATTAATCGAAAGTTTTAAACAAGTTAGCTGTTTAATTTGAATTTGTGCTAATGTATGAATTATGCAGTGACGCCATTTAACAAGAGAGGAAATGTTAAGGCCGGTAGGCATGCTTCAAGCTGGTGCTACTCCACGGAGTATCGCTGAGGACATCGTAAGAAAATAAAACGTGATATCACGGTTTTGGTCACGTTATCGTGCTACTGGTGAAATGGCTGAAAGACACCTAAGCGGGAAGCGCATAGCCACCCAACGACAAGACCGATTTTTACAAATTGCTGCGAGAAGGCAACCAAATTACGGCCATGCAGCTGGCTCAAAGGCTTCAGTCAGAGCACCAGTTACTTGTGAGTGACCAAACTGTGAGGAGCAGACTGCATGAAGCTAATCTTCATGCTCGCAGACAGCTTCGTACTCCTGCACTACGCCGAGGAAATCGTGGAAGAAGATTACAGTGGGTTAGTGAACATTTGCTCTGGGAAGATAACTAGAGGTCTTTACTGCTGTTTACCGATGAATCCCGATTCGGTTTCCATCCTGATTCGCGAAGAATACGAGATATGGCGAACTCCTGGTCGTGAGAGCCGCCTGCAACACCCTCAGGAAGTCCATCCATACCATGGCGGGACTCGTTTGGATCAAAAACACCATGACCGCTGAAAAATACCTCAACCAAGTGCTAGTACCAATAGTCTACCCACATCAATTACAAATGGGTCAAGAATTCACGCTCATGTATGACAATGCTCGTCCCCACACAGCGCGAATGGTCACCAGCTGGCTGCAGAAGCACGATGTATCGGTCTTAGACTGGCCCGCGCAATCACCAGACCTAAACCCCATAGAACACACGTGGGACATGCTCCAAAGAAGGGCTTTGAGGAAATTACCTACAAACATTATCACTAAAGAGCAACTTTTTTTGCATCTTTTCAGGACTTGGGACAGTATCCCGCAGTAAGACTTTGATAAGTTGATTGGAAGCATGAAAAATCGTTGCAGGACCGTTGTTAACGTCATGGGTGGTTTTACTGACTATTGATTTTCGCAAAATTGCAAATAACGGAATAATTTCACTATACTTATTTCTCACTTTTTCTTGAAAAACACATTTATCGTTATTTTACCATTATTCTACTTTTCGTCGTTACTTAAATAATTTATTTTTAGGTACAAAAAATATTTATCTTTTATTCTATAATCTACGCTAATAAATGGTCTTATAAAAATATAAACATGTATGTTATTCAGAAAAAAACAGAGAATATTAAGAATAATGAGGAAGTATTAAAAAAACGAAAGCACTAAACAAGCACCTCCACTAGATGGCGACCCTAGTAAAAGTTGATTTTTGCAGGAAACGAATGGACCAAAGACAGTCATTCATTACCGTTTCTTCTAACTAACATATTAAAAAACTGAAAGAACAATGGTCAAAATGGACTACGAAAAAAAAAGTTCTTGTACCAAGATGGAACTATCACCAAAATGTAGTATGAGTTGAATATAATTATTATATAGCAACAATTTATTTTTAAAAGCTGGGAAAAGAAAGATATCCTCTCTAAAATATGTCTTTATTTTTTAGAACGCAGTTTAAATTATGTTATTTTTGAACGCATCGTATTAATAATGTCATTCCTAGAGAAATCTCTCTTTTTCAAAGAACAACATCGATTTTATTTCTGACTAATCGAATTTATTACAAATCTTATATTATTTACTAACCATATAAAGCCGTGAAAATTATAAAACTTAGATTAGATTACTAATATAATTAGATGTTACTTAGAGGAAAATAGTTTATTTATAATGAAATTAAAAACAAATGATTATTCATAAGAATCGATATTGCGACCTCCCTTTTTTAGACAAATATGTGTAAACGTGTTTCTACGCAGACCGTTTTGTAACTTTGGCGGTGATTTTGTATTATCTTCTGTATTATGGGGAGCATACTAGGTTCCATGGGTAGTATAGAATTGAGGTCTGGAGAGAAATACCGGATTTTCTGGATTTATTAGAATTAGACTTAAATATAAATAAAGTCCTAATAATAAGGAGTAGAATTAAGTCGAGAAATTGGGAGCAAAAAAATTTTTATGTGTACATTTTAAAGAATAATAAATAAAGAATAAACTGCTGTAATTGTCTTATTAGTCGATCTACACTGGGATGCTGTCCTCATATAATGACCATAGTTTTGTATCTTGACAGAATGCTGCTCCTGCAGCATTCCGTGATGAGGTATTCATTAGAGTTGTAATAAAGAAAAGAAAAATCAACATGTTGTTTTGCTATATCCTTTTGAAATTAGTATTTTCACTACTACTTTATATAAGTTATAGTGTAAGATAGAAAAGTAGAGTTATTGAGAGCAATCTTAAAAATTCTAGTTTTTTTTTGATGTTCATTGATTGACAAAAAATGATTTTATTTCTTACAGTCAATAAAAATAATTTATCAGATATGAAACAAGTTTGAAGTATTATGTGAAAGTATGCCCTTCTAGGACTACGATTAGGCTTTATCTGACGTGTGCTTTACATATTTCAAATGTATTACTTCTAGCTCAAAATGCTACAGTTTAAATAATACGACATAACCTCAAAAACATATTACACAATTACTCGATACTCCCAGCTTTTAAAAATATATTTAATGTCTTTCTTTGTTCTAGTTGCATAGGCAAACAAAATAACATATGTTTCATCAAGTTACGTTTTATTCGATTTTACTAGTCCAAGCATGTTAGGCAGATGGCCATTGTTCTTTTAAGAGGTCGAAACTTAGATATCAATACAAATACTAAAAAGTACAAATAGAATATGAGTTGTTTATTGAGTTTTGAAAACGAATTTACTTTAAAAACATGAAAGAAAACCGGAAATATTGTCATGGAGAAATCAAGAACGTACCGTGGCGACATCTAGTTAGATTTCGAGAACTAATGTTTTTTTTAATACTTCCTCGATAAAATATCCCTAGACGATGTTGATATGTGTATATTAGTTTCTTTCAACTAACATATTAAAAAACTGAAACTTGCAAAGTTCGAAACTTAAATAGCACGACAAAGTACGAAAAAGTACAAATATTAATTTACTTTTATACATGAAAGAAAACCGAAAGGTACCGTACCGTTAACCGTCAAGAAGTACCAGCATCTAGTTAAGTAGCGTCATCTAGTTTGATTTCTGGAACTAATGTTTTATTTTTAATACTTCCTCATTCGAATTTGGTTCGTACTCCTGCACTACGCCGAGGAGCGATTAGAGCTAGTGAGTTTCTTGGACGTTCTTCTTATCAGCCAAAAGACGTCCTGAATAATTGGTAGGGTAAAAAACATTGGACGATTCAAAAGTACTTTTAAGAATTCTATTTGAATAAAGATTATTTTGACTTTGACTTTGATCTGGATTTTTTCAGAATCGGATGTTAGTCCTGTATTTGTATCAATTACAGATCGCAACTAGTTTTTGAGTTTTACATAAAATCATCTACTACAATATTTTGTTTTACTTCTAATCATACCAACAAATTTCGATATTCCCTATGAACTGATAGTTAATTATTTGGCTGACCTTTGTTCAGCCATATAGTAAAACAGGCGTTAAACTACTCGGCTGATCGAAAGTCAGCCTATTAATTAAATGTCGTCATTTAATTAAAGGGATAGCCGCCCTATTGGTAGTCTGATACTACTTGGCTGCGACATACATACTTAACTACGTTAAGCGCTAAGTACGAATAGCATGTTAAATTAACACGCTAAGCACTAATTTAGCCACCTGTAGTTGTATAGGTATAATACTAGCTTTTGCCTGCGACTTCGACCTCATGTGTTCATAAGTTTTGAGACGAAATACGAGTTGAGTAACTTTTTTAATAATTAACTTATATTTCTAAAGTTTTCACTTATCATGAATAAATCAGGTATAGTATAGTATTGTGAGTAACATTTCTAAAACGCTAAAACAAATATTATTAATTCTTTAATATAAAGTTTCATGATTTTATCTTTGACAATAAAGAATTTCCATACAAACTTTAAATCCTTATTTCAATATTTATATCACAATAAAAATCAACCTATGTTCTATCTAGAGTTGTCAGACAGTCGGAATTCATCTGGATTGTCTTTAAAAAAAAATAGTTCCCGAAATCAAACTAGATGTCGTACGATACTTTCTTGATTTCTCCATGACAACCCTTCCGGTTTTCTTTCATGTATAAAAGTAAATTAATTTTAAAAACTCAATAAACAACTTGTATTCTATTTGTATTTTTTCGTATTTGTATTGATATCTAAGTTTTGAGCTATAAAAATTTCAGTTTTTTAATATGTTAGTTAAAGGAACGGAAATAACTATATTTAGTCCATTCGTTTCTTGCAAAAATCAACTTTTGGTAGAGTCGCCATCTAGTGAGGTGCTTTGTTGTGCTTTGTTTTTTTTTTTAATTTTCCTCATTAATAAATATTCATTGGCGTATCGACCACTACAATAAAATAAATAATTTGTGAAGAAGAAGATATGAATTCATTTTTAAACACCCGGGGAAAAGAAGAAAATTAATCAAATCCGTTTTAATTTATGTATTTTATTACTGATCCCTATTAATAATGGCAACATTACTTAGCAATCAGCTGTACCAAGTTGTCAATGTCATTGTCATAACGCGTTTTAATTTGCTGACTGAGCTTCTTACTGCGATTGAAGATTTTTTCTAGTAAATTCAGTGATTTATCAAATAACTTTTCTTCTTCATCATATTCGAGTTAAACCATTTTAATTATAAAGTGCCACAGGGTCTACAAAAGCATTTTAAAATAAAATTAAACAG